AAAACGTTGTTCAGTTATAGACTAGAATGCACACTGCTGACTTAGGACTCCTACAAAAGTCTTCATTAATAGACTAACATTAAGAAATAAGAGAATGAATTAGTGCTCACTTTTTACAAAAAGTGTCAATTGACCTAGGTGGAAAGAGAAAGTTTATTTACAAGCGTTTCATGTTGGGTCAAATATTAACATTCACTGTTTAAATTTACATTTCAAAACATAGAACAAACCATCTCAATATTTTAAAACGCCATCTCAGTCACCTTCTAGCCCTAGACTGTCTCTCGAAGGGGTATCACAGCAGTCCCTTCCCCAGCAGTTGACGCACGCCATGTTGCAGAAGCGGCCGGCTATCCTACATGAGCACCTACTGTTTGGCGCACAACCCGCCACGCACCCACAAGATAGTCGAGTACGCAAATCGGGTGGCACCATGAACCCGCGACCCGCGGTACGGCACTGGCACTAGCGTGCAGTCCCCAGAGTCCCAGCCCCACGCCGTGGGGTCGATGTCATCGTTCCCAAGCCATTGCTGCAAATAGGCCCGGTAACTGTGCTGCCGGCACGCCGTGCCGTGGCGCCAGGCTCTCCGGCTTGAACTTGGAGGGCAGCTCCCCCGCACGGTTCCGCAAGAACTTCGTGGTTATTTGATGGACGTGCAAGTCATCCAACGAACGCGCCTTGAAGCCTCGCGGATACAGCGCGAGCACTAGCTTCTCTCCGCTCGCGGCCACGGCGTGGGGCTCGGCCTCGGGGTCGTTCAAGACGGTGGCTTCCCTCCGCAGGGCCTCGCTCTTCTTCAGCTCGTCGAAGAGCTTGCACTTGCTCGACTTGCTCACCCCCACTGGTGTAAATCAACTCAGAAATTTTCTGATAAACGGTGGATTTTCTGATAACTTGACAAAAAAGCATCAGATTTCGAGTATTTTCTGATAACATCAATTATTTATCAGAAAGAGGTCATCAGAAATGTTTTTTTCTGATACTTTCATATGTTATGAGAACAGAGACATCAGAAAAAGAGACCTTTCCTGATAAGTCGATCTGATTTCTGATAACTGCAAGTTATCAGAAATATAATCGTCAGAAATGTTTTAGATGTCTGATGTTCCAAAAAATGAGATCCCTGTAAAATAGAAAGTGTACGTAATTTCAGTTTCAAATTTGGTGAGTGTCTTGTTTGCAAGATTTGGCTAGGCCAGTTTTTATCTCAATGAGATCGGATCACATTTACTGTCTTTTTGAGAGTTGATGGCGAGCTAGCTCAATTTGGACTGCAGATTTGGATCGGACTCGGTTTCGACCCCCCGAAGACGTTTTCCCCGTTTCCGAGTCTCATGTAGATCAAAATATAATATGTTTACAGAAGAAAATGATTGTTCTGATATATTTCTTTATGAGTCCAGCCGTTGTTATCAGAACTAAAGTCATCAGAAAATTGAGGCATCAGAAACGCAAACATCAGAAATAGGTGTCCGAAAAAACATCAGAACTCAGACATGAGAAATGTTCTGATATGCAAAAGTATCAGAAAATTTCTGAGTTGATTTACACCAGTGCCGTACAGCCGAGACACGGTGTCGCAGCCAGTCAGGGCGTGAGCCAGGGGCAGGCACGACACCATCTCAGGGCCTAGGAATTCGCGGATCGCGGCAATATCGTGGCGCTTGCGCTTGCCATCCCGGCCAGGGCTCTCTACGTACAAATGGAGGCGCTCTCCGCCCTCGCGACCAAGATGACAAGGATGTCAGTGTCCTTGGCGATGACAGTGGCACGGCACGCCGGCGACGGCAAACAGTCCATGGCGGCCTTCGCCACGTCCACGTCGGCCCTGGACTAGATTACCTCAACCCCGCTCTGCTGTAAGTGCCCTTTGAACAGTTTCAGAAACTTGGCTTTGTTGGCCTTGTTCCCTAGAAAATCTCTCTGATCGAATTCGACGAGGGTGTCCTCGGGGGCGGCTCAAACGGGGCTCAGGTCGGGGCTCAAACCGGGCTCAGGTCGGGGCTCTGGCCATCAGGGCTCAGTCGGGGCTCGAGTCGGGGCTCAAGTCGGGCTCAAACGGGGCTCTGGTCGGGGCTCAGGTCATCGGGGCTCAATCAGGAAGGGGCTCATGTCGACCCTGCCGGCTCCCCCCCCCCCAGACTCCCCTTCACTTTATATAGAGTTGCTTCATCTACAAATTACACGACCTTGACCCTTGTAACTTTTCAACTTGTCAGGTTGGGGGGCTCCAACCCCAGACCCCCCTTTCATCAAGACAGGAGGGATCTACCTGCAGAAAACTCGATTTTTCACAATTTTTTAGGTGTTTTGCGGCTATAAAAACCGAACCAGTTGAGCTAGGAAAGTGAAATTTTGCGTGTGCTGAGCTAAGAACATACCTAATGAGCATGCAAAATCTCAGCCAGATCGGCCGAGCCGTTCAGGAGGAGTAGTGTACACACACAGACAAACAGACAGACAGACAAACAGACAGACAGACAGACAGACAGACAGACAGACAGAAAAAGTTTTTCAACCCCACTGGAGTAACAGGCTTCGCTATCGCTCAGCCAATAATGCGGTATTACGCTGTATTACGGGGATATTACACGTGTATTACGGCGTTAAAATGCCAAAACTTAGCACGTTAGGCCCGAAAATTGTATTACAATACGTGTATAACGCATAATACACGGTTTTTGAGTACCGGGTATTAAGCGAGTGTTTACCCTCTCGATGAAAGAGTACCCTTCTAGAAAAAACCACAACAAAGTACACAAATTTCTGGCAAATTTTTTATAAGGAATTTATTGCACTTTCAAAGTACAACAGTTGTTGTACAAAGTACCAGGTGGCTCAGAAGCCCCGAGACAAAATGATTGCAGGCTACACGCCTGCAGCCGTGCATGCGGGCTTGCCTACCCTCCGGTCTGCGGGCGCCGGGACGCGCTAGAGTGACCACTCGTCCATGACGCGGGGTACTGAAGCCAAGGTTGGGCTGGGCGGGGCCACGGCAGGTTAAATTCGGCACCAGCCGCGGGCCGCGGACAGCCCGCGGCGGACAGCACCGCGGTGGACAGCTAGGTGGCTGACAGCCGCGCAACGGACAGCAGCGCGGTGCAGAGCACAGCGGTGGACAGAGACACGCGCCGCGCCGGGCAGCCACGAGGTGGACAGCCCGCGGTGGACAGTGGCGCACCCCAGGGCCCCACCGCGGACAGCGGCGTGGCCCAGGGCCCCACCGCGGACAGCGGCGCGCCCCAGGGCCCCGCGGCGGACAGTGGCTTGGCCCAGAGCCCCGCGGCGGACAGTGGCGTGGCCCAGGGCCCCACCGCGGACTGTGGCGCACCCCAGGGCCCCACGGCGGACAGGGGCGTAGCCCAAAGCCCCACCGCGGACAGCGGCACACCCCAGGGCAACGCGGCGGACAGTGGCGTGGCCCAGGGCCCCACCGCGGACAGCGGCACACCCCAGGGCACCGCGGCGGACAGTGGCGTGGCCCAGGGCCCCACCGCGGACAGCGGCACACCCCAGGGCACCGCGGCGGACAGTGGCGTAGCCCAAAGCCCCGCGGAGGACAGTGGCTTGGCCCAGAGCCCCGCGGCGGACAGTGGCGTGGCCCAGAGCCCCGCGGCGGTCAGTGGCGTAGCCCAAAGCCCCGCGGAGGACAGTGGCTTGGCCCAGAGCCCCGCGGCGGACAGTGGCGTGGCCCAGGGCCCCACCGCGGACTGTGGCGCACCCCAGGGCCCCACGGCGGACAGGGGCGTAGCCCAAAGCCCCACCGCGGACAGCGGCACACCCCAGGGCACCGCGGCGGACAGTGGCGTGGCCCAGGGCCCCACCGCGGACTGTGGCGCACCCCAGGGCCCCACGGCGGACAGGGGCGTAGCCCAAAGCCCCACCGCGGACTGTGGCGCACCCCAGGGCCCCGCGGCGGACAGTGGCGTAGCCCAAACCCTCTCGGCGGACAGCGGCGTACCCCGGGGCCCCACGGTTGACTGCTGCATACCGGGGGCTCCACTGTCGACTGCTGCGTGACCCGGGGCCCCACTGTTGACTGCTGCGTAGCTCGGGGCTCGGCGGCGGACAGCGGCGTAGCCTGGTGCCCCCGCGGCAGACAGTGGCGTGGCCCGGGGCCCCGCGACGCCCGGAGGTTGCGTCATAAAGCTCCGCGACGGCCCTGGCTTGCGGCGGATAGTGCTGCGACGACCAGCGTCGCCGCGGCCGGCGCCGTGGCCTGCGCGAGGCCTCGCGTCGCGGGGGACAGCACCGCGACGACCAGCGTCGCCGCGGCCGGCGCCCTGGCCTCCGCGAGGCCTCGCGTCGCCGGGGACAGCACCGCGACGACCAGCGTCGCTGCGGCCGGCGCCCTGGCCTCCGCGAGGCCTCGCGTCGCCGGGGACAGCACCGCGACGACCAGCGTCGCCGCGGCCGGCGCCCTGGCCTCCGCGAGGCCTCGCGTCGCCGGGGACAGCACCGCGACGACCAGCGTCGCCGCGGCCGGCGCCCTGGCCTCCGCGAGGCCTCGCGTCGTCGGGGACAGCACCGCGACGACCAGCGTCGCCGCGGCCGGCGCCCTGGCCTCCGCGAGGCCTCGCGTCGCCGGGGACAGCACCGCGACGACCAGCGTCGCCGCGGACAGCGCCCTGGCCTCCGCGAGGCCTCGCGTCGCCGGGGACAGCACCGCGACGACCAGCGTCGCCGCGGCCGGCGCCCTGGCCTCCGCGAGGCCTCGCGTCGCCGGGGACAGCACCGCGACGACCAGCGTCGCCGCGGACAGCGCCGCGTCGCCTTGGTTCGTGGCGGACGGTGCAGTGGCTCCCGCGATGTCTAGTGTCTTGGCAGACAGCGCCGCGCGGTGCCGCGGCCTATAGCTCCGTGACGGCCAGCCCCGCGGCGGACAGTGCGTCCACAAACAGCCACACGGTGGACAGGCTGACCTGCAGGCTCACCACGGACAGCGCCCTGCGAGAGCTGGCGGTCGGACAGTGGACTGATTTCGAAAGTGGTTTATTTTGCTCTTTCTTTTTTGCACGCTGACGGGACGCCTAATGAGTGCGTGACGGTAGGGTGAGGCGGACGACGCACTGGTGGAGGGACGGAGAGGCGAACGCTTGCCGGACGACAGCCAAGCGAGCGATCGGCCAATCGCTGACGCTGCCGGGTCCCGTGCTCAGCCAAAACATTGCGGCGAGAGCGCCAGTGCCAGTGCCATCGTAGCTCAGTCAGTCGGAAGCATGCTTTGCAGTGAGTTGTGTCGTGATGCCTGTGTTTAGCAATCAAGAAAAGATAGACATTATTGCAGTTTTTCGTGAGGTGGACAACAGCCCGCGGCGGGCTCGGAGGCTCTACGCTCAAAGATTCCCTGGACGATTGCTGCCCTCTTTGGGCGTTTTTGCTAGGACAGAAATGAACCTGCGCTTGCACGGTGCATTTGGAATTCCGATGATCGGAAACAGACGCATCGTGGACGACCCCCATCTCCGTGCACTTGTTGTCGAGCATGTCAACGACAACCCCCACATTGGTGAGTTCCGCTTTTTTTATTATTTGAAAAATTGATTGTTATGGTGACGTGCAAGCCGCGGCCTGGGCTCGCTTCGGCGCGTCGCGTCGGCTGGCTGACCACCACGTGATTGACGCCAGTTGAGCGATTCCGTGGCGCGCACTCCTCGCTCTGTCCCTCTCGCACTCACGAAGATTGCCCTACAGGTGCGAGAGAGACAGATCGAAAATTGCACGCCGCGGAACTGCTCGGCAGGCTGCGTCCGGAGTGGCGCGTATTGATGGGGGGGGGGGCTGTTGACGCGCCAGTTCCCCTCCCCCTCCCCCCTCCCCCGGTCTCTGAGCCCACATTTGCGTTCGGAAGGATGACATTGTTTTGATTTGTGTTTATTCCATTGTTATAGGTCAAAGGGGAATCGCCTTGGCTCTGGGGACGAGTCGCCACTCGGTGGGACGCATTTTGAAGTCGGAATTTTTCCACAATTTCAAAGTGCATCTCAACCAAGAGTTGCGTGACGGAGACTTTCAGAGGCGAGTGGACTTCTGCAATTTTATGCTGCAGCAGTTGCAACTTCAGCCCAACTTCCAGCATGAAATTTGTTGGAGTGATGAGTCAACCTTTTCTAGTGAAGGCACCGTCAATAGACACAACATGCATTACTATTCTATTGACAATCCTCATTGGATGCAGGATCGTCATATCCAGGGAGGGTACATCGTCCCGTACATCGTACATTAAGAAATGTGCGAATTTCGCCTATGTTAAACCCTTACGGGATTTAAACCTGAGTCTGGGCCAAAATAGATGAAATTTTCGTCATCAGCACCCTCAAAAACATCAGAAAGAATGCAACTCGAATAAAAAGTTGAAAATAAACCCCACTGGGATTTGAACCCGGGTCGAAACTTCTCTGATTCGCTTGAAATTGGCACCGTTCGTTTTGTCTTGTCGCCCTGATTCCAAAAATACCCCTACATGCCCTCCTAGCTGCATCCGTTGCTGAAATCCTCCTCGACTCCATGTAGACCATGATGCACCTGCAGCAGCGCCCCCGGGGCTCGGATCGGATTTGCAGTTAAAAGTCATCAAATAGTGGAAAGTACCAAGAGGCGAGCGAAGCGAGCTGAAAGCCAGCGAATTTACGAAAATATTAGCGCGTTTTGGTTAAGATTCGGACACGATACAGAAATTTGCGACCCCACTTCCGCGGTCGCTGACGCCCCATGAGCGCGAGAGAGACAGAGAGACATAAACGAGTCTCGGAATCAGTCTATTGGTCTGTCTGGTCCAATGCAGCGGGCATCAGGCACTAATCTCCTCGGTTGAGCAGCTGCCGTCCGGGTCAGTGAGCCACCGTGCCGCACAGTGGATTTGCCAGAAGACCGGTGGAGACGGCCAAAACTCGAGACGCGTTTTGGACCTCCAGAGTCGCTTAACAGGACCCGAACCGAACGTGTGACCCCATCAATGGACTCCTCGTTCGGAGAGCAATCCGTTGGCGGTTCGAGTCCCATTTCGTGTCTCTGGCTGGGGCTGGAGCTCAAAACGCGTCCGGGATTTTGGCCGCGCCGGCATTGGTCGCACTGGGCGTCGTCGCACCGCAGCCGACCCAGTCGCTCCGCGCCGCTCCGCGCCGCTCCGGCCGCCGTGGCAGTGGGCATCACCGCGGCGCGGCCGAGGCGGCGCGTTGCCTACCCGGCCGGGCCGGGCGCGCTGGGCGGACGGACGCCGACGACGGTAGCCACGCCTGCCTTTCGGCAACGATTCCCGCTTCGGAAGGAGGTCAAGTGCGCCCTGCTGTCGTCCGTGCCGTCCACGCCGTCCACGCCGTCCACGCCGTCCACGCCGTCCACGCCGTCCACGCCGTGCCCATAACGGCCGTTTCACCTCCTTTGGGGGCGCGGCACAGTGGGCCAGAAGACCGGTGGAGGCGACCAAAACTCTAGACGCGTGCAGAGCTCCAGAGTCGCTAGGGACTCGAACCGAACGTTTGACCCCACCAACGGATTCCTCGTTCGGAGAGCAATCCATCAGTGGGGTCACACGTTCGGGTCGAGTCCCATTTAGCGACTCTGGAGCTCAAAACGCGCCCGAGATTTTGACCGCCTCCACCGGTCTTCTGGCCCACTGTGCGCGGTGGCGGGCGGTGGCGGGCGGTGGCGGGCGGTGGCACAACGGCGGCGCGACAGGGCTTCCCCCGTGACGCCTCGCCTCGCCGCAGACTGCTGCTTGCTGCCGGTTGACCGCATTCGCACAGAGGTGACGAATATCGCCGGGCCCGGGCCTGGTCCCCTCCGTGTGGTGGTCGGTCCAGGACAAGGTCCAGGACAAGGTCCAGGACAAGGTCCAGGACAAGGTCCAGGACAAGGTCCAGGACAAGGTCCAGGACAAGGTCCAGGACAAGGTCCAGGAGTCCTGGAGCGTCCAGGGATTTCCAGGAACCGCCGCGCCGCGTCAGCGCGTCCGCCCGCGAGGCGGTGTTGCAAGCCGCGGCCCGTCATGTGCAAAAGCAGCAAAAGCGCGCGGTTTTATCGCCCCCTTGTCTGCGTTCGGGTTCCAACTTGGCGCCCTGACGGTAGCGCAGCGGAGGAAGCGGAGCGTCGGCCCTTCTCCTTCCCCCTCCCCTTTCCCTTGTTGAGTAATACGTCACTTTCTCCGATTCGTCCGACACCTGCCCTGGCCGGTCTGGGCGGGGCATTATACTCTCGTGACCATTGACTCCCAGGAGTACACCATCCCTAGGGACAGTGTACTCTCCCCTTAGGGAGAGTACACCATCCCTAGGGATACTGTACTCCCCTACCTCGAGAGGGGGGGAGTACATTGACCCTAGGGATAGTGTACCCCCGGAGTACACTATCCCTAGGGTCAATGTACCCCCCCCCCTCGAGGTAGGGAGTACACTATCCCTAGGGATGGTGTACTCTCCCTAAGGGGGGCGTACACTGTCCCTAGGGATGGTGTACTCCCCCCGGGGGGTACACCATCCCTAGGGCCAATGTACTCCCCCACTAGCAGGGGAGTACTTGGTCCCTAGGGATATTGTACTCCCCTACCAGCATGGGAGTAGGGTAGAGAAGGGTAGAGTCAAGAGTATGTTAAGATCTGACGCAAGTTGAGTAAGATCTGTCAGCGTCAAACAGCGAGGCTGTGCTAGCCTCAGACAGCGAGGCTGTGCCAGCGTCAAACAGCGAGGCTGTGCCAGCGTCAAACAGCGAGGCTGTGCCAGCGTCAAACAGCGAGGCTGTGCCAGCGTCAAACAGCGAGGCTGTGCCAGCGTCAAACAGCGAGGCTGTGCCAGCGTCAAACAGCGAGGCTGTGCCCGCCTCACACAGCGAGGCTGTGCCAGCGTCAAACAGCGAGGCTGTGCCAGCGTCAAACAGCGAGGCTGTGCCAGCGTCAAACAGCGAGGCTGTGCCAGCGTCAAACAGCGAGGCTGAGCTAGCCTCACACAGCGAGGCTGTGCCAGCGTCAAACAGCGAGGCTGTGCCAGCCTCACACAGCGAGGCTGTGCAAGCGTCAAACAGCGAGGCTGTGCCAGCGTCAAACAGCGAGGCTGTGCCAGCGTCAAGCCAGCGTCAAAAAGCGACGCTGTGCCAGCGTCAAACAGCGAGGCTGTGCCAGCGTCAAACAGCGAGGCTGTGCCAGCCTCACACAGCGAGGCTGTGCCCGCCTCACACAGCGAGGCTGTGCCAGCTTCACACAGCGAGGCTGTGCCAGCCTCACACAGCGAGGCTGTGCCAGCGTCAAACAGCGAGGCTGTGCCAGCGTCAAACAGCGAGGCTGTGCCAGCGTCAAACAGCGAGGCTGTGCCAGCGTCAAACAGCGAGGCTGTGCCAGCGTCAAACAGCGAGGCTGTGCCAGCGTCAAACAGCGAGGTTGTGCCAGCCTCACACAGCGAGGCTGTGCCAGCGTCAAACAGCGAGGCTGTGCCAGCGTCAAACAGCGGGGCTGTGCCAGCGTCAAACAGCGAGGCTGTGCCAGCGTCAATCAGCGAGGCTATGCCAGCGTCAAACAGCGAGGCTGTGCCAGCGTCAAACAGCGAGGCTGTGCCAGCCTCACACAGCGAGGCTGTGCCAGCGTTAAACAGCGAGGCTGTGCCAGCGTCAAAGAGCGAGGCTGTGCCCCCCTTACACAGCGAGGCTGTGCCAGCGTCAAACAGCGAGGCTGTGCCAGCGTCAAACAGCGAGGCTGTGCCAGCGTCAAACAGCGAGGCTGTGCCAGCTTCAAACAGCGAGGCTGTGCCAGCGTCAAACAGCGAGGCTGTGCCAGCGTCAAACAGCGAGGCTGTGCCAGCGTCAAACAGCGAGGCTGTGCCAGCGTCAAACAGCGAGGTTGTGCCAGCCTCACACAGCGAGGCTGTGCCAGCCTCACACAGCGAGGCTGTGCCAGCGTCAAACAGCGAGGCTGTGCCAGCGTCAAACAGCGAGGCTGTGCCAGCGTCAAACAGCGAGGCTGTGCCAGCGTCAAACAGCGAGGCTGTGCCAGCGTCAAACAGCGAGGCTGTGCCAGCCTAAACAGCGAGGCTTGCCACCCTCAACAGCGAGGCTGTGCCAGCGTCAAACAGCGAGGCTGTGCCAGCTCAAACAGCGAGGCTTGCCAGCTCAAACAGCGAGGCTGTGCCACCCTCAACAGCGAGGCTGTGCCCCCCTCAACAGCGAGGCTGTGCCAGCTTCAACAGCGAGCTGTGCCAGCCTCACCAAAAAAGCTGTGCCAGCTCAAACAGCGAGGCTGTCCCCGCCTCACACAGCGAGGCTGTGCCAGCCTCCCACAGCGAGGCTGTGCCAGCGTCAAACAGCGGGGCTGTGCCAGCCTCACACAGCGAGGCTGTGCCGCTCAAACAGCGAGGCTTGCCCCCCTTTACACAGCGAGGCTGTGCCAGCGTCAAACAGCGAGGCTGTGCCAGCGTCAAACAGCGAGGCTGTGCCAGCGTCAAACAGCGAGGCTGTGCCAGCTCAAACAGCGAGGCTGTGCCGCTCAAACAGCGAGGCTGTGCCGCTCAAACAGCGAGGCTGTGCCAGCCTCCACAGCGAGGCTTGCCACCCTCAACAGCGAGGCTGTGCCAGCGTCAAACAGCGAGGCTGTGCCAGCGTCAAACAGCGAGGCTGTGCCAGCGTCAAACAGCGAGGTGTGCCAGCCTCACACAGCGAGGCTGTGCCGCTTCAACAGCGAGGCTGTGCCAGCCCAACAGCGAGGCTGTGCCAGCCTCCACAGCGAGGTGTGCCAGCGTCAAAAGCGGGCTGTGCCAGCCTCACACAGCGAGGCTGTCCCCGCTCAACAGCGAGGCTTGCCGCCTACACAGCGAGGCTGTGCCAGCGTCAAACAGCGAGGCTGTGCCAGCGTCAAACAGCGAGGCTGTGCCAGCGTCAAACAGCGAGGCTGTGCCACCCTCAACAGCGAGGCTGTGCCCCCCTCAACAGCGAGGCTGTGCCCCCCTCACACAGCGGGGCTGGGGCAGCCTCCACAGCAGGCTGTGCCAGCGTCAAACAGCGAGGCTGTGCCAGCGCAAACAGCGAGGCTGTGCCAGCGTCAAACAGCGAGGCTGTGCCAGCGTCAAACAGCGAGGTTGTGCCAGCCTCACACACGAGGCTGTGCCGGCTCAAACAGCAAAGGCTGTGCCAGCCAAACAGCGAGGCTGTGCCAGCCCCCCACAGCGGGGTTGTGCCAGCGTCAAAAGCGGGGCTGTGCCAGCCTCACACAGCGAGGCTGTGCCGCTCAAACAGCGAGGCTTGCCCCCC